TTAACCTGCACACCCGTCAATTTGGTCTACTGCATCTGCTGCTCCCAATGTGGCATCCTCTACATCAGTGAGATGAAGCTGAGACTCGGAGACCGTTTTGTAGAGCATCTGCGTTCTCTTCATGATAAACGACAACACCTCCCACCGCCAACCATTTTAACTCCCCCTCCCACTCCCTGGGTGACATGTTCTTCCTGGGTCTCCTCCAGTGTCACAATGACGCCACCTGCAAACTGGAGGAGTAGCACCTCATAGTCCACCTCAGGAGCCTACAGCCCAATGGCCTAAACATGGAGTTCACCAGCTTTAAAATCTCCCCCTGGCCTCATCCCACGTCCAACCCTCCCTCTCATCCCTACCTCCTGGACCTGACACAACTTGTCCGTCTTCTCTCCCACCTCACTGACCAATCCCTACCACTCCCTACCTGCACTCACCTATCACCATCCCACCTACCTTCCCCAGCCCCACCCCTCCTCTCTCTATTTATTTGTGAGCTCCCCTACCCCTCCCCATTTCTGAAGAAGGGTTTTGGCCTGAAACGTCAACTTTCCTGCTCCTCTGATGCTGCCTGGCCTGCAGTGTTCTTCCAGCTCCACACTGTATTATCTCTGACTCCAGCATCTGCAGTTCTTGCTATCCCCAAGGTGGACATGTTGTGAATTGAGCTCAATTCTTCTCTTCTTTGATTTTCCATTTAACAAAATTGTGAGAGCAGGCACCTATGTCTGAGATCCCTTTTTGCCCTTCTAATGTGTGAAGTCACACACTGTTCTGGGGCTGCAAATACATAAAATTATTCTTACTGTTCTTACATATATCTCTTGGAAAGTCCTCTCCAATTGCAAATAGTAATCACACTTAGTATTCTTGATACGGTTATAAGATTTCAACAATATCTCTAATACTTCTTTTACTATAACAACAGATGCAATTATTTTTAACATGTTCACTATTTCCTTTTTCCTATTATTGACCCATTTGCATTTGCTTTAATAGGCCCTTTTACCACTCTTCCTCCCACAACATTTAATAAAATATTTGTGTTGATACGCATCGCAAGATTCCTTCCCATTCCATTTCAATCATTTTGCGGCTTGTATAGCTCATACAGCTCACTGGATTCCAACTTATTAGGCTGAATTTTCCAGGTAAGGTTGTAATCCTGATGAAGGTCTGAATTCTGGGTAAGAATCTGGATGAGATCGTGTTGGAATGTCAGTTATGATTGTCCTTGAGGGGCCAATGAAGAAGCTACTTATTGGAGCTTTGTTCGGTTAATGATGTCGGGAAGATGAGGGAAACAAGGCCAGACGGCCTTCGGTGATGCCCAGTTGGAAGCTGTGTGTTGTTGAAGCAGGCAGGGGAGCTGCACGTACACCTCAAAATGCAGATGCTATCTGTTGCATCAGGAGACTTCCCCCTCTCCAAGATGGCTTGCAGACATAGCTGTGACCAACATGGTTGCTGACATCATATTCCGGCTGGTCTGTGATGGGGTGGTTAACTGGAAGTATCAATGCCCATGCCTCTGCTTCATCTTTCCCTCCCTGGTCTGCCTTGTCAATGCTGCCACTAGCTTTCTGATCCACAAGGGCTGATGCCATGCTGAGAAGATCCCAATACTTTCCTCACCCTGCTCGAATGGGCCCTTAAGTGGGCTAAGTAGCCAGTGCTGCAGTGACCCTGCCTCTGGGTAGAGTACTTGGGAGTCAGGAAAGCACAGGATCTCCAACCCAAATTTGCCTCCAGCACTGCCTCTGCAGGGCCAGAATAGTTCAGCCTTTGTTTCACTTGAAAAAGCCTGTGTATTAGTTTGATACAGTCTCTTAGAATCAGATAAATTAATAGTATTGAATGAAATCATTTGCTTGTGTTGTATTTTTGAAGATTATTTAGTTTCATGCTGTTTGTACATTCTTACTCACTTGCCCAACACCATGTTGAAACGATTCACAGAATCAGCTTCCCTCAGCTTTTCACATTAAGCAATCCAGATTCTGACAACTCACTAAGTAAAGGGGAAAATCAATTATCTCCCATTGGAGCTAGATATGGATTTAAATCCACAACCTCTGGCCCATTCACCAGAAGGAACAGCTTTTCTCTGTCAATTCAATCAAAACTTATTATTATTTTGAAAGTCCATGTTAGGCCACCTTCCAGGGCAAATAGTCCAAATGTTTCCAACTCTGTTCATAACCAAAGTGCATCTTCTGTGGTAACATCCTCTTAAATAGCCTCTGTTTATTTTCTAAGGCCTTTACATCTCTCCTGTCCAGGACTGTCCCAAATATTCCAACTATGGCCTAGCCAAGGATTTTCAAAGTGCTGGAAACATGCCCTTTCAATTACATTCCATATCTCCATTTATAAAAACATGTAACTCCCATTTAACATACATATAAACATATAAAATAGGAATAGATGTATACCATTCAGGCCTTTGAGCCTATTCCACCATTTAATGAGATCATGAATGATCTGTCTGTATTTTGAATTCCATATTCCTATCTACTCCCAATAATGTTTGATTCCGTTGCCCAACAGGAACCTAGCTACCTCTGTTTTAAATATATTCAATCGCCCCACTTCTTCCACCTTCTGTGGCAGACAGGTTCAAAGTCACACAACTCTCTGAAAGATAAAAAGTTCTCTTCCACTTGGTCCTAAAAGGGTGACGACAAATTTAAAACAACGCTCTATATGGACACCAAAGTCTTTTTGCTCATTTATACTTCTCAGTGTCATGTTTTTACAGTACATTGTCTTGTCAAATTAATCAACCAAAGTGCATGACATCACAATTTCCTTACTTCACCTGAACTCAAATTTTCCTCTATTCTACTTTGTTGAATACCATTCTCTGTCATCTTTCTAAAATCCTCTACTACAAATAAATGAGATGAATGGTGATAATTTATTTATTTATTAACATCAGTTTTGTAATTTCAATTTCAAAATAGTGACATATTGGCTTTGGCTACTTTAGTGAAGGGTTTTCTTTAAAATGGTCAAAGACCCCTTTGAGAATCAGTGACCTAATCCCGTATTTATCAGAAAGCAGAGGACTGCAAACCTCTGTGGTGTTAATGGAAAGTTGTTTATACTGTTTGGTTTACAAAGGTAGACTAAACACGTAAATCCATTAGCTTTGTTATCAGTTGAACATTTGTTTTAAAAAATACATTTTACAAGCACCAGCATTGCGATTAGATGTCAATAGTTTCTCTTCTAGAACATGGGACTTTTTTGACTGGAGCGTAGGAGGTTGAGAGGTGACCTGAAAGACCTTTATAAAATAATGAGGGGTAAAGGCAGTGTTAATGGTAGTTGTATTTTCCCTAGGAGGTAGGATTTCAAGACGACAGGACACGGTCTTAAGGTGAGAGGAGAGAGATTTAAAAAAGTTATGAGGGGCAAATTTTTTACATAGAGGGTGGTTCACATATGGAATGAACTTCCTGAGGAAATGGTGGGTGTTGGTACAATTACAACATTTAAAATACACTTTGATAAGTACATGAATAGGAAAGGTTTGGAGGGATATGGGCCAGGAGCAAGCAGGTGGGACTAGTTTAGTTTGGAATTACGTTCAGCATGGACTGGTTGGACTGAGAGGTCTGTTTTCATGCTGTATGACTCTATAAGTGAAGTCATTGGAAAACCTCAGGAGAAAGGCAGTTTGTGAAACTTCTAAACCAAGAGGATTGGGTGAGAAATCTGTAGGCTATTAGAACTGAGAAAGTTTAAACTCATAGATTTTTGAAAGTTTATTTTGACATATTTGTCGATGATTAATCAAACTCTTGATAATATGCAGAAACTAAATCTGCAGTCAGTGAACTAAATCCTAAGGTGTTGAGATAGGGGTGTACTTTCATTAGACTTGAGTCTCTATAATGATTAGTAGAGGGAAACAGGTTGAAATTGTTTTACTCTGTACTTTCAGATCATTCTAACTTTTGTTAATATGTAGAAAGCTTGTTTTGTTTTGTTTCTTCTTTCATTTAATAAAGTTTTGTTCTGTTTTTGAAGAAAGTCTGCAGTCTCACGTGAATATGTCTCAGTGATTACCACCATGTTTACTAATTAAATTAAAACAACTTTTATGCCAGATTTTTGTTCTGGAATTTAATTTGTCTAGTAGCTGGGATCGTAACAGTAAAAAACATAGTACGTGGAATGTGTACAATATTTAGTTTGTAAATAAAAAATATTTTTGAATGATGTTGTATTCAATATACAGATATAATTTTAAAAAAAAAGTAAATATATCTGTGAGTTGGGATAACAAGGTGTAGAGCTGGATGAACACAGCAGGCCAAGCAGCATCAGAGGAACAGGAAGGCTGACGTTTCGGGCCTAGACCCTTCTTCAGAAATGATATTTCCTCTGAACTGTGTTTATATTGATTGCTGCAACATAGACTCACCTCATTCACTTTAGAAGGTCAGGGGAGGACATGTGTTATGCATAAAGTTCACAGAGTGTGTACAAAGAGGTGACAATATCCTCAATGCATCTCAGAGGGAAACCCCCAGAACTCAGGGAGCCAAAAAGTCAGAAGAATGGATGCAAAATGTGGAAACGCGTGAGAACCGGTAGCTTGGGTAGGAGGTTTTTGGTCAGAGCAAATTCTGGAGGGGGCGGGAGGTTCTTAAATAAAGTTATGTCAACGAGGATTTGGGAAAACTATACTTGATACTGTTGTTACATGAACAATAAAGGCAGATTTGCATGAATCTAAAATAATTTTATAGAGTGGGGTGTCAGGAAGAAAATAAGGCAATTCAATACGTTTTGAGGGCAAATATTATTTCTTCCTCTCCACATAAATAATATTTACCCAGGATCAAACTGTAGCGACATTGTAGGCATTGCTCAACGAGTCTCCTGAGGGAGCTTCGCTCCTGTTACCCCGGGTTGACCTGACGTTGGGCTTGGTTTACACATGGAAGTGAGGTAGCACCGGGAGGAAGCGACTGCCCACGGTTCACTGATGCCAAACCTCGCGCATAATTTTGTTTTGGTAACTCCATTTACCGTCTGCGTTCACACATATATTTGTAATAAGATGACTTCAAAGAGGAGTGAAGGCGAATGGCAGGGGTTAGTGAATGAGGTGAGTTTATGTTGCAGCAATCAATATAAACACAGTTCAGAGGAAATATCATCCATCCAGCCATATGTGGGGAATTAAATGAGGCAAATACTTGCTCCGATAGGGACAGTCTCGCTGATACAAAATGTTTATAGATTTAATTTGGTGCGAAACGTGAGGGATTCGGGCATTAACCCCAGAAACTATAAACGGCCGCCGGGGGCTGCGGCTTCACTCCCACCAGCTGTCAGCCCGAACAGAGAGCCGCACATCACGGTTGAGCCCGAGCGCGGAGCTGCAGCGGGACGTGGAGCTGAGCCCGAGCGCGGAGCTCCGGCCTCTCCGGCCCCAGTTCCCGGATCCGGCTCAGATCCTCCACGTCAGGATTACTGCTGCAGCCAGTGCGCATGAGCCCAGGTGGAGTAGTGTCCCACTGCTGCATATCAAATACACAACTTGCTGAAAAAAAATCCGACGCGTACTACCGTTGCTGTCTGTATGTACCATCACTGTGTGGGGAAGAAAAGCAAACAAAAGGAGTTGTTTGAATAGGACAACCAATTGGCAGGACAGTTTGATTTCTTCCCCAACACCCCGTTCCCTCCTGTTCACATGGGGGAAATGTTTGCACTGGCTCTCAGTTGGTGCTGCATTTTCTGAGTGCAACGACCGGAACAACAATAAGGAGAAGTGGAGGATAGTGAAGCTTATCCTTCCCGACTTTCCCACATCCTTCATTTTACATAAAGAAAATAAACTTCCAAAGTCAAACTTTTTTTTTACAAGATGTCTAAATTTAAAGCTTCGAATTTTCAGCTGTTCACAAAGGTTGGATAGCTGGCATTTGAAATCAGAAATTTTGCAACATGTAACTATTCGGTAGCTGATACTAGTCTTAAAGCGTGATAAAATGGTTTTGCCATAACTAATAAAGGCACAGAAACAATTTATTATTTTGCTTGAGCTCATTTCAGAGAGTGTAACAATTTCTTCAGTCTCTACTTCATTCACCATGTCTAAGCTCTTTCCCAAACTAATACATCTCTATATCACTCACTCTGTCTTCAGGTTCTCAGCATGCACTTCAACCTGCTTAGTGTTGCTTTTACAACCTCTGATTTTTTTTAAACTATAGAGGCCTATGCCCTATATCAAAAGATGAGATTACTCCCTAACATGATTTAGTGACCCTATGTTGTTTAGTAAATATATAATTAATACTCCACAAGGGATGTTTTTTTTTCTTTTAACAACTCATCCATATCTCTGGACTGTTACAACATTATCATTGTTGAGAAAGGCAATTGATTGACTAGGTCCTCTTAGGCATGAACCCATGGAATCACTTGTTCACTGCATGACTGGTTTAGGTTACTCTCCACCACTAACAGCTGTTGCTCATCAATGTTTCAGTTAAAAAAAGTAAAGCTAATGATGCAAAATGACTAACAGTTTCTGATAACAACAGATCAATTTCTGGACTGCAAATGTTAAATTGTGAGGGCAGACTGCATAAGTTAGGGTTGTATTCCCTGGAATTTTAAAAGTTCGAGACAATTCTTCTGTTACTGATGCAATGAATGGCTCTGTCTGATTAACACTTTGAAAATGTTGCATGAGCAGCAGATATATTTACAAAGGCAAGTTTTGACATTTTTTTCCAAGAACATTTCAAGGATTGCCAGTGTTATTTTATTACTCATTAGTTTTGTGCATAGATCGTCCTGGGTGAGTGGAGGATGGCGGTGGTTTGACAGACATAGAGTTGACTTGGAGAGTGGAAATAAGGTCTCAACTAAGGCAAAGAACTGACATGGCCTTCCTATTGAGCCTGCATTATCACTCATCCATCTCCAAGCCCAAATCTGATCTGTTTACAAAGGCCAGGAGACCTAACTCAACCTATCTGCCAGCTGCTGCTTGTCCCAATTTTGATTGATCTATATTCATAAGAATTTGTTTTCTATACAGTCTCAGGTTATTCTGCCAGACGCTTTGATACCTTCTCACAGACCCCTGATGGGCTAGGGATCCTACACTGAGAACCCCTGTTTTATTTCAAGACCTCATGTACAAGTACAATGAATGCCAAACTAAAATTTTACGACTAATATACATGTTTATCTCATTTTCTATTCAATGAAACAACAGAAATCTAAAGCACATATATCACGGAAACTTTAATTTCATAAGATACCCGTATAGCTCAGTGGTAGCCACCTTTCGAAGGTACGTTGATTCATTTGTTGTTATATCTGCTGCTCATGCAACATTATAAAAGTGTTAATCAGACAGAGCCATTCATAGCATCTGTAACAGAAGAATTGTCTCTAACTTTTAAAATTCCAGGGAATACAACCCTAATTTATGCAGTCTGCCCTCACAATTTAACATTTGCAGTCCAGAAATTGATCTGTTGTTATCAGAAACTGTCATTTTGCATCATTAGCTTTACTTTTTTTAAGTGAAACGTTGATGAGAAACAGCTATTAGTGGTGGAGAGTAACCTAAACCAGTCATGCAGTGAACAAGTGATTCCATGGGTTCATGCCTAAGAGGACCTAGTCAATCAATTGCCTTTCTCAACAATGATAGTGGTGTAACAGTCCAGAGATATGTATGAGTTGTTAAAAGAAAAAATAAACATCCCTTGTGGAGTATTAATTATATATTTACTCAGGGTTGCTCAACATATTCTTCCCAGGCTGCTTCATTTAAAGGAACAGCATTGCTTTGGTCTCATTTTGTCTGAATAGAGTGCACAAGCATGTAAAACTAAAGCATGTTCTGACTTTTCTAGTAAGTATTTTAATGACTTATTTACATTGTCTGTGACAAATTTGGTGTTGATGACTATTAGGTGTTACAGTCATAGGCTTTTGGATGGTATAGAATGGCTTCACCACTACTTACTTCATGAGGGCAAGGGGTTTGTCAGTAATTTCCTCAAACTAGTTAGTTTGTTGTCAAAAATAGCTTTCTTTGGGTGTTGACATTATTAACATTGCAGCTGTATTGAGCTGTGTAATACCAGAAACAGTCAGCATTTCAAGGAAGAAATGAGTTGTCACTAGTTGCCTCCAGCAGAACTGTTTTTATGCTACCTTGTATAATACATATCATGATTTAGTGTCATAGAATCATAGAGATATACAGCATGGAAACAGACCCTTAGGTCCAACTCATCCATGACGACCAGATATCTTATATAAATCTAGTCCCACTTGCCAGCATTTGGCCCATATCCTCTGAACCCTTCCTATTCGTACACCCGTCCAGATACCTTTTAAATGTTGTAATTATACCAGCCTCCACCACTTCCTCTGGTAGTTCATTCCATATGTGCAGTACCCTCTGCATTGAAAAAAATTGCCCTTTAGGTGCCTTTTAAGTCTTTCCCCTCTCACCTTAAACCTATGCCTTCTAGTTTTGGACTCCCCCACCTCAGGGAAAAGACCTTGTCTATTCATCCTATCCATGCCCCTCATGATCTTATAAATCTCTATAAATGTCACCCCTCAGCCTCCAATGCTCCAGGTAAAATAACCCCAACCTATTCAGCCTCTCCCTATAACTCAAACCCTCCAATCCTGGCAACATCCTTCTAAATCTTTTCTGAATCCTTTTGAGTTTCACAACATCCCTCCTATGACAAGGAAACCAGAATTCCACGCAGAGTTCCAAAAGTGGCCTAAGCAATGTCTTGTACAGCTGCAACATGACCTCCCAACTCATTTACTCAGTGCACTGACTGATAAAGTCAAGCATACCAAATGCCTTCTTCACTAGCCTGTCTATCTGTGACTCCACTTTCAAAGAACGTGAACCTGCACTCCAAGATCTCTTTGTTCAGCAACACTTCCCAGGACCTTACTATTAAGTGTATAAGTCCTGTCCTGATTTGCCTTTCCAAAATACAGCACCTCACATTTATCTAAATTAAACTGCATCTGCCACACCATTGGCCCATCTAATCAAGATCCCATTATACTGTCAGGTACCCCTCTTCACCGTCCACTAAATCTCTAATTTTGGTGTCATCTGCATCTACTAACCATATCTCCTATGTTCACATCTAACTCATTTATATAAATGATGAAAAGCAGTGGACCTAGCACTGATCCTTCTGGCACATTGCTTGTCATAGGCCTCCAGTCTGAAAAGCAACTTTCCACCACCACCCTCTGTCTCCTATCTTTGAGCCAGTTCAGTATCCAAATAGCTAGTTCTCCTCTATTCCATGTGATCTAACCTTGCTAACCAGTCTACCATGAGAAACCTTGTCGAATGCCTCACTGAAGTCTATATTGATCACATCCACCGCTCAACTGTCATCAGTCCTCTTTGTTATTTCTTCAAAAACCTCAATCAAGTTCATGAGACATGATTTCCCCTGCACAAAGCCTTGTTGACTATCCCTAATCAGTCCTTGCCTTTCCAAATCCATGTAAATCCTGTCCCTCTGGATTCCCTCCAAAACTTGCCAACCACTGATGTCAGGCTCACTGGTCTATAGTTCTCTGGCTTTTCCTTACCAGCTTTCTTAAATAATGATACCATATTATCCACCCTCCAGTCTTCCAGCGCCTCATCTGTGGCTATCAATGATACAAGTATCTCAGCAAGGGGCCCAGCAATCTCCTCGCTAGCTTCCCATAGAGTTCTAGGGTATACCTAATCAGGTCCGGGGGATTTATCCACTTTTTTGCATTTTAAGCCATCCAGCACCACCACCTCCATTTTCAAGATGTCGCCATTTATTTCCCCGCGTTCTCTATCTTCCGTATCCTTCTCCACAGCAAACACTTATGCAAAATACTCGTTTAGTATTGAAAATAGAATGCTGAACTTTGACACATTTTTTGGTTCCCTGTTAATAAAGCCTATTCAAATTGAATGTAAAAGACACCTGAGAGCATAGTTTTGGGATGCATCTGTTAGAAAAGAACATTGTCGTTTTGCTAGGCAATCTCTTGACATGTCAACAGCAGAATTTACAGCTGTGTTAGTAGAAGCAACAG